GTTGCAGGGTGAAGATGTTCCTCCCTCCTTCCAGTAAGAGGTTCCGCCCTCCTTCCAGTATCTTGCATCAGTCAATCCCCTGGATCCCAGGGCAATCAATGCTGGCAAGACCCTCCCGGACTTCTATTTTTTCTGATGTATCTCAATTCCAATCTGTCCAAGGGACGCTGGACCCGTTTTCCAGCAGGTGATGCTCCCCACCAATAGACTGGAGCCTCTCCCCAGGTGCTAGTGGTGTCTGCTCTTATCAGCACCACTAACACTGGCGGGGGTATGTTTGGGAAAAAAAAAAAAAAAAAATCCCCCGTTCGAATTTGAATGCGGGATCGTAGCCCTAAAAACTTCGAAATTGGCTGAAAGTCATTAAAAAAAAAAAAAATCAAGCACTAGGCGGCTGGGGAGGCCGCCACTGGCCGAAAAAAGCCTCCCCCCCCTCGCGCGCGAAATTGCGCTGGGCCCGCCCGGCGCCCAACTGGGTGACCCAACCGGCCGGGCTGCCCGGGAACCCTACCAGACGAAGGCCAGGCTGCCGGGCGGTCCGGATTTTAACACAGCCAAATACAGCTAGAATGACCGTACGTTGTATTCGGGGGAAGAAGGTAGTTAGTCAACACGCCAGCAGCAGCCTGGCCATGAAGAGGACTGTGAGGAGGAGGACCAGTGCGGTGGTGACAGAGAGTTCAAATTTCAAAATCAACTACGAAAAACGGTGTGGGGGCAGGGGCATGACTGCGAGAGTCTTTTGTGTGCCAGAGAATATGATGATCAGAAGATGGCTGTTCTGTTGTCGACAATGTGATCAACATGACAAAGCCAATGGTGAGACTACGGTCGTCACCCAAATAGAATGCCTGGTCATTATAGCTGGTGTATATTAGGCAATCTTTCGGTCTAGATGCAGCCATAATTACCGGGTGTTCTGTTGAGGTGAAGACGGTAGGATTGGTGTTGTCCAGAACACATGAGTTGTTGTACGTTTAAGTAATTTCGCTCGTTGTCGTAGGACCGTGAGAGTTTGATTAAGAGGGTGTGAATTATGACAGCCCGTGTGCACAAACCTTCATCCTGCTGCTGCTGCTGCTGCTGCTGCTGATGATGATGATCATCATCCTCATCGTGATGGTTATGTGTGCATCTGAAGTACGAAGTACAAGTGGTATAAACATGGCAAACAAGTGTGAGTTTGTGACAATGACGGTGATGATGATGATGATGATGGTGTGTGAGTTTGATGTTGAGAGAGTGAGTTGTGATAGTGTGAAAAACATGACAAACATGATGATGATGATGATGATGATGATGATGATGATGACGATGATGATGATGACGGTAATTATGCAAACAAGGCCCTGGTAATGGAGATGATGATTGCCGGTAAAGCGTATGAAGTTGGGAATGCACCTTGGACCTAACAGAAGGCATGATGTGGCATCTATGATCTGGCTTCGGGACAGGAGGACGTAACTACACAAGCAGGAGGAATGGTTTCTCCACCTCCCCCTCCATGCCTCGTGGCTTATTCTCATGCTGAGAGAGGTTGGCAAGAACATGGGCGACTATCGAAGGAGTCTTCAAAGCTTGTTTCTTGTATAAAGGTGAGTGTGTAGGTCCTTTATGATGATGACCTGTCATGCAGTGAAGTCTCCATTTGCATGCACAGTGTGACCTTGTTATTGCAAGGCACAAAGTTTCACCAAATCACAGCATTCCACAATAACTTAACAGAGACATGGTGTTTAGGAAATCCATCAAAATTGGAACAATATCGAGAGGATGAGCTGAGCTCGGCCTGCAACGGATGACAGGTACAAGTTGAGAAATGTCTGAACTGGACAACGACGGGGAAGTACCCCGTGTGTGGTGTCCGTGCTAAGTACCTGTGGGGGGGGTCTTGTGGAGTGGAGCAAAGTGTGCAAGAATTGCTGTGTCCGTGTAATGTGGCCGTGTGGTGTGGGTTGCGTTGGACTCTACAGCCTTGCAGGGGTGGGGTGGATATCATGACCAGTATGGTTTCACTTTTGAACACTGTGTCATGGTCGTAGTGGATAAGATATTTGGCTCCTGAGGCCGAGGTCGCCGGTTCGAATCCGTGCACCCATGCACTTTGGCCTGCTGTGCGGATGTATGGACCATATTGAACTGGACAACTGTTTTTTCTTCCCCCCCCCAAAAAAGCAGGTCTCGATTCTGTGGAGCATCAGTCCGGCTCCTTTCCACCAGCCAGTCAAATCAAAGATCACATGGTAGACCCCCCCCTCCGCACTTCCTTCCTTCAAGGCCGAAGGACCCCTGAGCAGCATTGATTGCTCCCTGTGGGGGAGAGTTGACTTTCTCCCAAGGAACGGGCTGCATCAGAAAACAAACAAAAACAGGAAAATTAAAAAAAACACTTTGAGGGATGAAAGTAAGAAGATCACCAAGAAGAGCTGAACTGAACCCCAGGAGTCGGATAGACCAGAAGCAAAGAGTCCTGTCCCTATCCTATTCTCCTCTTTTAGCATCAGCAACTGAAGTCCCCCTCCCAGGGACTGTGGAAAGGGACCAGAAAAGTTGCAAAACCAAGTGCAGTAAATAGAAAGGGAAAAAGGGACTGGCGAGGAAGTTGCAGAAACTGAACCCCTTATCTCTCGGAAGAGAGCGAGGTTGAGAGCCAACAACTCCATCAGCATTGGTGGATCCATCTGTACTGCGAGGCAGTACGCCAAGGCTTGGAGACAACTTCTACGCTACGGTACCTCTTTTCAGTGCGATGCCACCTTACCTCTTAGCCTCTCTCCAGTCGAGTACACGCCGAAGTGTAAGGGCGTGGTCCCACCGCTCTCCAAATGCGAAAAAAAAACTTTTAGAAAAGACAAAAGCATGCCAACTTTTGCCAAGCATATGTTATTCTATTTCCGAACTTTTTCCTTGAAGATATGCCGCTCTTGCCATTTTACATATTTGGTGACCAGTCCAGCAAGGCCCAAGGTGTATGTATCCAACATAGCCCATATCCAAGTATACTTACCAGGATTAGCCACACACCAAAGCGTGCTTACCTGGCGTAAATGGTGGTCAGCCTTACCGCGAATAGTCCCAAGTCCATCCATGCCTTTTTCAGATTTTCTCCTTTGGTTCCAATGCTTCCAATACCCCTTATCACCTTTTCGGACTCTCCCCATCAATCGTTCGATAGTGAGATACCTGATCTGGATGAGATTTGACCAGATTCGGCTACCCACATACTGACTGCTCCCCTCTTCCCCCGCCTTTCCTTTCAACTCCCACGCCGCTACAGCTGTGAACAGATGGGCAGATGTTCCCTCAGCAGCCAAACCCCTAAATTTATCGATGGGTATGTGTGCCCGATCTGGAAGTATATTGCATAACCAAGATCTGACAGGCTACAGACACAGCTGCAGTTCAGCTTCTTACTATAACAGATGTGCATCTAGCACTGTCCCCTTTTCCACTCTTTCCTCCTCTCTTCGCTTTCTGCATGAGCACCAATTGTGCTGGAAGCTCATGGCCCATGTTCGTGTAGTCGTGACCAGATGTGCAGATGGGGTCGCAGCCTGCAACCCCCAAATCCCCTGATGGAGGACTTGACCGGACTGAAGGTGAATGCAGAACCAAGACCTGGCAGATTGCTGGCACAGGTACAGACTCTAGCTTTTTCCCGCCAGGATCCGTCTCCAACAACAGCAGCCAAACCACCAGTTGGTTTCAACTGATGGACTACATTGTCTCGAGCTGTCCAGCGCCCTGAGACCTGCCTGGATGGCTCCCGATCAAAATTATCATATAACTGAGGCACATTTCTGGCCTCGTCGAACTTGCTCCAATTCAAGAATAATCGCCTGAAATATGGCCCAATTACCATTTCTCTCACTGCCATGGCATCAAAGCCAATGTGATGCTCTCGGGTTTACTTCGGCGTTTGTGTCGAATGTCTCTACCGTCTTCACCCGAATACAATGCCCAGTCATTATCGCTGTTGCAAGCAGAGCTTCCGGGGTATTGAAGAGAGATGACAGGCACTGATAAGCTATAACTGGTGTATTTGTTTTTGTTTTTGCATGGATGTTTAATATTTGCCTTACAGGCAATGGGCCATGGAGCGGAGCATGGTTGTGTAACGGGTGAGACACGGCATGGCGAAGGGTACGGTCCGACTGCCTCAGAATGTATGCATTATTCCAGGCCTTTTGCATGTTCCCTGTTTTGTGGACTGTGACCCCAGAAATCCTGAGTAAGTGCCAGATCAAACCTGGTTTTGGCTGAGAAGTAGCTCTGGCCTACATGGAATCAGAGACCAAAAGGAAATCATGAGGGGGTTGATGGCAGGACGTGGGTGTTGTCCACCTATATGTTTTTGCGTGTTTGTGCTTGTGTGTTTGTGTGTTTGTGTTTATGTGTTTGCATGCATTTGTGTGTGTGTGTGTGTGTGTGTGTGTGTGTGTGTGTGTGTGTGTGTGTGTGTGTGTTGTAATTGTCACCATAGCAACCCCTATACCACCCAGATGAATAGATAGATCCAAATTTGATATATAAAGTTATAAACTCCTCGACCGTAGTTTCTTCTACATGCCAACTCTTACCATAACGACTCCGTTTCCACCCAGATGAGTAGATCCAGAAAACAAAGGGTTTGACCTTAAAATTTTAAAATCTTCTATAGCAAACCTCACGAAGCCCACAAAAACTGTGATCTGTGATATTGCCACACGTGTGTGTGTGTGTCTCTGTGCTCTCCGTGGTTGTGCTAATGGTTGTCTCGAGGGCTTGTGGATAATCAGTCCCCAAAATGTGAGGATTAAGTAATGCAACGAGTGTTAAGTTGGGTATGCAAGGGAACAAGAGTTATTCACCTCTGATGCGCTGAAAGCCACGGCCCTAAAGCTGCTGTGATTGTGCTGGAATGGCGTGAATGTGGACTGCATTTGAAAGGTGAAACACCTTTGTGCTGTGCTGCGTTGCGCTGAATGCACTCACAAATCATAAATCGCGCAAACGTTCTCAACCAATTGAAGAAGAACAGCAAACTGAACAGCCGCGCACAGGCACGCGTATTGCACACTTGGTACCAACTGTCAATAGAGAGTGTCATAGCACTCGAAGAAAATTCGTCGACGCGATCCACCTTACAAGCCACAACACCCAAGGGGCCAACATCATGGAACTGTCAGCTAACAGGCAAAGTGAATAACATTTTGTGAAGCCACACAGGAGAATGCCGTAGAAGTTCCTCTTATTCCTTCCTGTAAACTTCTTTGAAAGGGGCCCCTGAACATAACGCATATGCGTTGTATATGAGTTTTCAAATTTGGAAAAAGAAATCGAATAGAATGCATACGCGTTGTATTCCAAATTTAGGGCTATAATCGGCTATTCGAATAGAACGCATGTGCGTTGTTTTCGAATAGAACACACCCTATGCGCAGTCACGGTGTTAGTTTGATGGGGTGTGTTGTATTGGAAGGATGCCTGAAGTAGATTTTAAACTGAAATGGAGAATGCACCCTAGTTACTCCTTCTTTGAATCCAATTGCATCATTTGCATGCACAACCGAGGAAACCAAGGGGGCACGCAGGGCCCGGTTCCCAGCATGTGCTCCTCCCCATAAATAGATCGGAGCATTGTTTCCCTCCCCTCCCCCCACCCCAAAAAAAAAAACAAAAAAAGAAAACAAAAAACAAAAAAATGGGGAACTTTCAGATTGGTGCCCTTCTTCGATGTATCACACTGCGAGGTTAGCGGGAGTTAGAAAGTTCCTAGTGTGAATATATCCTTAGAAGTTGGACTATTTGTTCTCTGTGCTACCGTCTTCACCCGAATACAACGCACGGTCATTATAGTCGTATTTGGCACAACTTTTGGTCCAGATGCAGCGATAATGACCGGGCGTTGTACTCGGGTGAAGACGGTAGCACTATTGTAGATTTGCCAGAGTTAGTCAGAAAGTTCGTAGTGTACTTTGACTTACCGGCGGAATAGGAACCGGACTGATGCTCCGCAAAATAGATTAAGGAGCTAGAGCCGCAAGGCTGTGTTTTGCCGGGCGTGGGGGGGTGGGAAGGAATCCTTTGAAGATAGAATATGTTTACTCGGTGCTATAGCTCTACTCTGTACTTGTAGAAGTTGTAGGGTCTTTTTCTATTGCTATAGCTATACTCTGTACTTGTAGAAGTTGTAGGGTCTTTTTCTATGGTCCTGAACAGTCCCTCGCAACTGAATCACCAAGAAGATCATCTGTTTGGTGGACTTGCAACTGTACTTCACAAGTTCTTGACTGCACCTCTTTTCCGGTAGGAGTTTCTCTCTCTCTCTCTCTCTCTCTCTCTCTCTCTCTCTCTCTCTCTCTCTCTCTCTCTCTCTCTCTCTCTCTCTCT